TGGTACCTGTGACATCATCACCATGTGTGAGAGGTGGGGAGAGCTGGTGCCTGTGACATCATCACCTTTTTAATTTTGCCTTACTAGAGTAGGAAATCTCAGGTGGAGAAACTTCTGCAGTGAGTGATGGGAGCCATGACTGTCCTTAAACAAGATTGTTAAAGAATGTGAGGTGCATTGAGGGACAACTAGAAGCTGATGCCAGAAGGTCAGATAGGGCTGGGCGAACGCTGGAGTAAAAGACAGGCAAGCGGGAGGAAGGAAACAGACCAGGTCCTGTGTGACAGGTCCCAGGCTCACCTGTAGGATCTACAAGCATGCCCACAATGGCCCACCTCTCTCTGACATTTGTAATTTCAGGCAAACTGAGAACTGGAGTCCCCATGTCAATGTCCAAGGCCTTTGGATACGAGAAAGCTCTGTGGTCTGTGAGCAAGGTGAGAGGCATGTGGGAATAAAAGCCTGTCTGGGCTGGGAGTGGCCTACAGTCCACCACCCTGGCCCTGCGGTCACTTGTCAGGGTGTGGGCACTGTAAGTGAAATGTCACTGCTCCTCCTACCCCACTTACGACCGTCCATGTCTTCACTCACTTATGAAGGACTATTTCTCCACGCTGTAACATGGGCTATGCATGGCTCCTAGTGCTTCTGGCCATAGAAACAGATAATGCTGTCCCCTGGAAGAGCCTACATTCTAACAAGAGAGACACCTATATAAATGAATAAACAGCATCATGTAAATAAGGGCTGGGAAGAAAAAGAAGCAGAAGAGAAAGCGGTGGAAAGGGGCTGCTGGTTTTAATAGGACAGATAGGGAGGGCCTCTCTAAAATGGTGATGTTTGCTGGCACCATAAAGGCAAGATGGTGAGCCCTGTGGATAGAGGGAGAAGTGTCATATCAAAAGGACCAGCAAGCTGAAGCTTGAGGCTCTGAAGCTGAGGTGGGTACTGTTCCGGGAAAGATGGTCAGGAGGTCTGAGGTCGTGCCCAAGGACTGCAGATCTCAAGCTACACACACTCACACGCTCACACATACACCTGTGGGGCTGTGACCTCAGCTTGAGCAGACCAGAGTTACTGCTCAGTTCTCCATGCAGATGTCCCCAGTGTGACAAGCCTGACACACACTAAAGGCTTAATAAATGGTTGGTGAGCAGGTAACAACCCTGGCCTCCGCTAGGAACAGAGCTGCAGCTGTGTCGGGCACCTCACACCAGTGTCAGCCTTAACAGGAATGTCCACACCAGCTCTGCTGTCAGCCTCACACCTAGCTCTAGACGTGGAGCCTGGTGTGATCTCCTTTTACAGATAAGGAAACTGAGACCTGACAGCAGCAAGATATTTTTCCAAAGCCACACACCCTACTGGTGGCCTAGTCAGATTTTGCATTTGACACCTGCCCCAATAACCTCTTACTTTAGCCCCAACTTCTGCAAGAGCCAGTCAGTAAAGTGTCCATCTTGGTCAGCTAGCTAGTGGGCATTTATTAAGCACCTACTGTGTGCAGACATTGTCCACAACAATGAACAAAGCAGGAAAAAAACCCTGGCTCTTCAGAACTTCAATCCAACTGAGGATGCTAAAAGCAGACTCACAGCGAAAGTCCATAGGTGACTTGCCCATCATCCTCTGTGACAAAGGGCTCAGCCCTGCTCTACAGAAGCATTTTGGGCCAAATCTGTGACTCCTGTAAGTCCCAATTTGCCCCCAAGCTGCCCATTAGGACCACCGAGCTCCTGAGCCATTTAATCATGGGAAAATCCCCAGATCCAGGCCCATGCCCCTGTCTCCAAATGTCCTGCTGGGCTCTATCGGTTCCTCTGCAGCCAACAATACATTGGCTGTGTTCTACAGCTGGCAACAGCTGGCAGACACCACACATTTAAGTTCGTGGAAAGAGAGTAAAGAATAAATAAATCAGTAGATGTGAGTTAAGGCCAGTGTGTGAGAGGAGCCAGTAGACCACGGCAGCCGGGTCACGTGATCACTGCTCACGGCCACTTTGCCGGGAGCCGTGAAGAGATCAAAATACAATCTTTTTTTTTAATTGTTTTATTTATTTACATTCCAAATGTTGCCCCGCTTCCTGGTCCCCCCTCTGAGAGTTCTTCACTCCCTACCCTCTCCCCTTTGCCTCTGAGAGGGCATTTCCCCCACACACACCCCACCCACTCTTACCTCATTTCCCCCATCTCTCTTCCCTGGGACATCCAGTCTCTACAGGATTAGGCTCATCCTCTCCCACTGAAGCCAGACAAGGCAGTCCTCTGTGACACATGTGCCAGGGCATAGATCAGAGCAAGTTTTATCATTACACTTAGTTTGGTTTTCACTTCTTTTCAAAGCGACAGTTGTTTAAACTCAGGAGCCTAGGTCTGTCTGGAGACAGCCAGGAATCAACTTTTAAATTTCTTTGTGTTCTACTGTGGGCTTGGGGACAACTGTCCTATACAATCCAGCCACTGCACACAAATACTTTGCCTGGGCCACAGATTGCTGGAAGACACTACTGTTCATATACAAATCCTTCATGTATGACCCTGGCATGTGCTCTGCACAAGTGTGTCCCCCACACCAGGGCTTCCTTCATTGAGGACAAAAGCAGAGCAAGCCCCCAAAAAGCAGGAAGTGAAAACCAAAGCGAAGGAGAAAACTGACCAGTCTGACTCGCCTTCCATCGCAGGGTGTCCTCAAGCTCACTCCAGCTTCCTCCTAAAACCCTGGCTCTGCCCTCTCCTGATGAAGACTGGCCAGTAGCAGCAGCCCCGGCCCGGTCCCAGCTGGGAGTGTGGAAGCCTGCCATGTGGACTATCCCCTGCAATTAATAAACACTTGTCAGTGGCTCCTGTTGTCAGGGTGGTTTTGTCCAGCGTGGGAGTCACTCCACCTCTGGCAGGCCTGGGATATGGACAGAGACATGAGGGTGGGGTTCAGATACCTCTGAGCCAACCTGAAGCAGTCTTTGTCTTATGGAAACGGCATGACCACAGAATAGTAGTTGCGGTTGGGATCACCTCCCTTTTGGATGGGGAGACACCCACTTTGCTGATCTTGTTGGTATGGTGGGTCATATGCTCTCTGAGTCCTATGGTTCTGGAGACAGGCAAACAGGATGCAGCTTCCCCTAGGTGGGCTTCTGTGCTCTTCTCTGTCAAGTGGGAGAATGATGGTTCTCACCTTGCAGAGCTGAGGGGGAGATGAAATGAGGCACTCAGCCAGTGGCTCCATGACACCTCAGGGGACATCTTATCACCAAGACCTTTCCTACTCAGACACGCATGGCAGCCGCTGTCTCCGTGGTTTCCCTGAAGCCCCAACATTCTGAGATAGGACAATAGGCATCTGTTCATTGAGCCTGGGTCGTTCCCCACACCCAGCCACAGCCATCAGTCACACAAGAGCCCTTACAGGAAGACAGGGGTAGTGTCTTAGAAGGGACAGTACTCAGTGCTAAAGCACATTTCTGCCACACCTCTGGTCTGTAGTGCCACCTGGTCACCATAAGGCAATTTGTTCCACCCCATGTGATCACCAGATTTGAATGTTGAAAAGGAAGACTCTCTCCTAACATAGCTGTGGCCAAGGCCCCTCAGGTCCATCATCCCCTGGGGTCTCCTAAGGGGCTGATGAAGATGCCTGGATCCTTACTCCCTGGGCAAGGGACAGTTCTGAGGTCCAATCTCACCTCTGGCTCCCAGGCCTCCCACAAGAAGGAACGTGGGCACACACAGCAGCTGGCCACAGCCTACTCTCCACTGTTATGAGGGTCATCTCCTAGATACACTCCACTCAAATCTGGGTATCAGCCTACTGCAGATACCAAGACCATTTGTCCATGTCGGTCACACTAGAGGGATCTTAGCGCTGATGGACCACCTGCCTTCCCACAGCCTATGCAACACTCTCCTGTACCCAGCAGCATGCCGCTGCCTCTTCTTCCAGGCTCCTTCCTCGTCCACCCTCTTCTTTGCTCTGCTTTCCAAGGGAAAGAAGAGGAACTGTTTCTGTGCTGACCTGCATCTGACAGGACCCTGAAACTGCCAGCCCTGATCCAGAGAGACAGGAGACCCTAGAGGCAGGGGTTCTCAAGTCCCACAAGCAGGGCTCTGAGACTCTGCGTCCTTCCTCAACAGAAAGAGTGAAAACTCTTCTTAAATCCGAGTCTCGGAAACAGTAAAGAGAAAATTCCAAGTTATATCTTATAGATTGTCCTTAAGTGACACTTATCTATGACCCTCGCTCCTCAGAAGGCTGAGTGAGACAGGAGGATTACTAGCTGGAGGCCAGCCTAGACTACATCACAAGATCATGTTTGAAAACAACCCAGGTCTTGAGCCTGGAGTGACAGATCAGTGGAGAGGAACACTGGCTGCTCTTTCAAAGGAGCTGGGTTCAGTTCCCAGAACCCACTTCATGGCTCACAACCATCTGTATCTCCGGTGCCAGGGGATCCAGTGCCTTCTTCTGGCCTCTATGTGCACCAGGCATATGTATGGTAATACTGAGATAAATACAGGCAAAACACCCACACATTAAATTAAAAAAATATATACCTCACTCTTTGAGATGGAGGTGGATCGGAGATTAAGATCACGTGTTCTCTTGCAGAGGGCCTGGAACCTACACCAAGAAGCTCACAGCCACTTGTAACTACAATTCCAGGGAATCTGGTACCCTCTGGCTACCAAAGCATATGCCCATGTGTGGTTCACATAATCTCATGTAGGCACACACACATACATATACATTTTTAAAAAATAATCTTAAAATATAGAACTTCTATATTCTCTACCATATTCCACCAAATCCTGTGAACATTCACTGCCAGTCTGTCCTGTTGGCTGAAGGAAGCACTTCAGAACAAGCCGAGGTCAGCCTTGTGCTTCCTGTGTATCTGCTGTCTCTTGGAACTCCATCTTGCACCAGCTCCCAAGCCTGAGCCTCCAGGATAAAACTGGAACTCCTGAGGAAAGGATTGAGGAAGGAAGGAGAGAGATGATGTAATATTATAATCTCAAAAAAGAAAGTCTAAAACAAAAAAGAAAAGGAAATTGGAGCTAACACCCGCCCTGCTTGCACCCTGAGTTGTAAAGGAGAAAATTCTATTGAAAATCCCCAGACAACAGGGATAGTTGGTGGTGGTCACCACCTGATAATGAAGGGGCCCTCATAGTCAGGTGCACACAGGAGCCTAGCATGGGGTGCTAGGTTCGCACAGGGCAGGACCTCTATACAGGTAGGTGGCAGAGAGCTCAGTCATGGAACTGCTGTGGTGCAACCAGCAAAGCTCTGGGCCCTAGCATCAGACCCCAGCTTTCTCTGGCAAGCTCCCTGACCCTGCTGGAACAGCTTACTCCTCTGTTTCTTGGCTCCTTCTGTATGGAATGCACATGATCGGGACAGCTTGTTAACCCTTCCCGTGCACCTGGCCTGTGCTCACTACTCCACAGTTGCTGCCACGCTGGCCTTCACCATCTCCCCAAAACCATCGGTAGGTTTATCGTCTTCTGAGTGAGGCTAAAAAGGAAATGAACACAATTTGTTCTCCATTACTCAGCTCCTACGCAGTCAAAGCAATCATTTAGGACCTGTCTGCAACTCTGGTGACCACATCTGGGTAGAAATGAGGTAAGAGCCTAGGTGACATACATAGGAAGGACATGGGAACAGCAGGAACAAGGTGGACACTGCCAGCTTCATCTTTGCCCCTCACCAGCTCACACGTGCACATGTGTGCACAGACACACACACACCCTTACCACCTTGGGATCTATGCCAGTCATATCTGGCATTAGCAGCCTCTGTACTTCTCACAAGAGCTGGAGATATGCCAAAGGGAAAGGGCCCACGACCAGCCCACTTCCTCCTTGGGGTCCAGTGGCCACATTCTGAGCTTGCTTCCCCCTTCCCACCCCAACCCCCACCTCAGTAACAGGCTCTATCAGTTTTGGCCAAAAGCCCCTGCAAAGTGCCAAGAGAAGTGATTCTTTCACTGAAGAATTGAGCATGCCAAGCTCTGGCCAGGGGCCTTGGCTTCCCACCACGTACCCACCCTTTGCTTCAGTTTGGTATATAAGATTAGTCCTTTAAGAAAGCTGATGACACAGGCCTGAGAGATCTGGAAGGACTCATAGAGAGTGGTAAGGACACGGGAGACAGCACCCACACACACAGATGTTTGCTGTGCCTCCGCCATCATAGGGAGAAATACAGCAGAGGTTCTTAGCACCCAGTCATGCTGGAATCAGATCAAGCTCTGCCACTTACAGTGTACCATAGGGAGTCAGGCCCAGAGCAGGACAGTTGGAACATAAAAAGATGGGGGCAGGATACGGGGTGGGGCCACAGGGCTGTGGGACCCTGGAGAGGACATAAGCTCCTACTTCCACGGCCGCAGGTTCTGAAGTGGGGATGCCGCTGCTGTGGACACTGCTGTTGTGCTGGGGGATGCTGTCCCAAGCCCAAGGGAAAATCCACGGTCCTCTCTCTCTGCGGATCAATGAGAGCCAGCTGGAAACAGGTGAATCTCAAGGAATGAGCTTGGAGAAGCATGCCCTCTAAGAAGGCAGAGCAGTGGACCACAGCTCTGGGCTTCTTCTCTGGGGCCCATTTACCAGCCATCCACATCCCTTGCCCCTCCTCTGCTCTAACACTTGCTGTGCTTCCCACCTGCCATGAACAGTCCTCACCCTGTCATTCAAACTCCCCAGTGTCTCCCTTACCACCACCCCTGCCCACTAACTGCATAGAGGTCATGGCTGCCTTCTTGGCTAGTGTGGGGACATCCCCCTTTCTCTCCTTCTCAATGTAGTGTGCGCTGACTCTGGAAGACAAAGTCCTTACCACCTCTCCTCCAGAAACATCTGATCTCCCTGTAGCAGCCAGGTCTCTCCTGGCTCCCACAGCCCTCTGCTGAAACCTCTTCAATGGCCTTGTCCCGACACAGCACCTGCTAACCTGTCTGCCTGCCTGCTCTTCTCCCTGCCGCTTGTCTGTAGGGTGCTTGTTGTCCCAGCTTGAGAATCTATGACCTGACAGCATTTGCATATACTGCTGTTCTCCCTAGACTCTTCCATAATGAGTTCCTTCACCTCCTTGTGGTGTCTGCTCTGCCCTAAGCCTCTTCCTTACAGCAGTCCTCAAGGACCTCCATGTCCAAAGCAGACCCTCTTCACCCCAGTCACACTTGGACTCTGCCCTGTTTCACTTTCCTATAACACTTCCAAAACAAACTTCATTTGCTGGTCTGAGTTCTAGTTTGTCTTTCTCGCTGACTACCATGTCAACTCCAGAGCAGTGGGAGCTGCACGCCTCCTTAAGCCACGCAGACTTGACTTGCTGGCTGAGCTAAGTGGCAAGGTAAGGCTGAGCCAGAGATAATAACTTGAGCCCAGGAGTTTGAAACCAACCTGGGCAATACATTGAGATCTGAGCTCTGGTCACCTCGTAAGAATTAGTTGTCGAATGGCTGTCTTACCTTCTAGCTGGGTTCAGGTGCCAGTGAGTGTTTGCTGACTGGCTGAGTGAACCCTGAGGAGTTGTTTTGTCCCCAGACATCTCGGATCTATTATTAAAGCACCGGGTCCTGAAGGGTGTGATCAGGATGACTGTGACCGGATCCCCAAGTGAGGGTGTGTCTGTCGTGGACCACCTGCCCTTCTTCAGAAAGGAGCTTGTTGTGAAGAAGAGTGGGCTGGACCTGTCACTCGTGGGGGA